AGGAAGGAAGGAAAAGAGGGAGGGAGAAAGAGAGAAAGAAAGGAGAATGAAAGAAAGAGATGAAAGAGAGAGAGAGAGAGAGAGAAAGGAAGGAAAAGAGGGAGAAAGAGAGAAAAAGAAAGAAAGGAGAAAGGCAGACAGAGACGAAAGAAAGAGAGAGAAGGAAAGAAAGAGAAAAGAAAGAAAGGGGGAGAAAGAAAGAGGAAGAAAGAGAGAAAAAGAAAGAAAGAAAGAAAAAAAGAAAGAGCCCCCCCTCAAGTTGGAATGATAGGGGGAGAAACAGCCGGAGCCTCTCTCCCCCCCCCGCACCCCAACCCCCCCCCTGCCGGCTGGCTTTTCTCTGCAATCACGTGGTTTCCAGGCAGCGGCAGGCGGGCGCTTTCGCTTTCGCTTTCGCTTTCGCGGTCTTGAGATGGAGCGGTTCTGTGGGATGGGGGGGAGAAGCGGGGAAGAGNAGAAGGGCGGGGGAAGGGAGGGAGGGAGAAGGAAGGAATATTGGGAGGAGGGAGTGTGGGGGAAGGGGAGGCAGGGAATGCCAATTTTCCCTACCAGGAAGGAAGCGGTCCAAGTTGGTCCATCCCGTCCCAGCAGGGGGTTGGACTAGATGACCTCCGAGGTCCCTTCCAACTCTGCTCTTCTCTGATTCTGTAAGGGTCTCCTGCTCGAGCAGGGGGTTGGACTTGATGACCTCCAAGGCCCCTTCCCGCTCTGTTCTCTTATGATTCTGTAAGGGTCTGCTGGTTGAGCAGGGGGTTGGACTAGAGGACCTCCGAGGCCCCTTCCAACTCTGTCCTCCTGTGATTCTGTAAGGGTTTCCTGCTCGAGCAGGGGGTTGGACTAGATGACCTCCGAGGTCCCTTCCGGCTCTGCTCTTCTCTGATTCTGTAAGGGTCTCCGGCTCGAGCAGGGGGTTGGACTTGATGACCTCCGAGGTCCCTTCCCGCTCTGTTCTCTGATGATTCTGTAAGGGTCTGCTGGTTGAGCAGGGGGTTGGACTTGATGACCCCTGAGGTCCCTTCCGGCTCTGCTCTTCTCTGATTCTGTAAGGGTCTCCTGCTCGAGCAGGAGGTTGGACTTGACCTCCGAGGTCCCTTCCGGCTCTGTTCTCTTATGATTCTGTAAGGGTCTGCTGGTTGAGCAGGGGGTTGGACTAGAGGACCTCCGAGGTCCCTTCCAGCTCTATCCTATGCCTAATCTCTGAGGTCCCTTCCAACTCTGTCAGTCTATGATTGTGTAAGGAACTCGTGCTTGAGGGGGGGGTGGACTAGATGGCCTCTGAGGTCCCTTCCAACTCTGCCTTTCTCTGATTGTGTAAGAACACAATCTGGAGCATGGGGTCGGACTAGAAGACCTCTAGGGTCCCTCCCAGCTCTATTCCGATTGAATTGACTGAGTATATTCTACTCATTTCCTCTCCCCCTCCTCCAGGAAGTCAGGGCCAGTCTCCCCCTTCCTCTCTGCCTTTGCAGTGCATCATGGGACGGAGACAGAGTGAGCACCCCAACCTCACCAGTTTCCCCGACAGCCCCCCCCCTCAAAAAAAATGAAGACACGCCCTCTGTTGTAAGAACCGAAAAGATGTATTAATAAGATCTCGGATGGAAATTAAAGTGGTAAGATTCTCACTCGGAATCCCTCGTTGAGTCCAGGTTGGCCACTGGAAGGCGGTGTAGAGCAGTGCCCTTCCCCCCCGCAACTTTTGGGGAACCAGGGACCGGTTCCACGGAGGACGGTTTTTCCGTGGACCAGGTCCGTGTGTGATTTCACACGCTGCCTGGATGCCACACATGCACAGACGGAGCTTCGCTTGCTTGTGCGGCCTGCTTTCTGGTGCACCGCGGCCCGGTGCTGGTCCGCAGCCCATGAGTTGGGGACCCCTGGCGTACGGCAGTGGCCCCCAATCTTTCGAGCACCATAGAGAGCGGTTTTTCCGTGGACCAGAGTGGAGCATGCTTCCGCGTGCAGCCTGCATCCCGCTGACGGAGCTTCGCCTCTGCGTGGATTGTTTTCTGGCATGCTGCGGCCCGGTCCACGGGCTGTGAATTGGTGCTAATCTACGCCCCGTGAATTGGGTGCTGGTCCACGGCCGGAGAATTGGGGACCCCTGGTGTATGTAGAGGACCACAGAGACGGCCTTGCGGAAAATATCCGGCAGCACGACTTGAATTCCCCTCAGGAAAACAGGCAGGGGTGAGGAAGAGCCTCAAGGCTCTCCTGCCTTGATGTTCTTCAGTGCCAGCCGGAGCGAACGGGAGACGTTTTCAAGATTCTACTACTATAATCGGTACCAATAAAGTCTAATATTTGTTGTGTCGGTGGTTTCTCGGCCTGGTCTACCTCGAAGGATTGGCAGATGGGGTAGCCCCCCCCAAATATGTGGCAGCTGTGAGAAAATCTTGGATTCGCCCCAGGAAAGCAGGAAAGGGTGAGAAAGAACATCAAGGCTGTCCTGCCTTGATGTTCTTTGGTGCCAGCCGGAGCGAACGGGAGACGTTTTCACGATTCTGCTACTATAATCGGTACCAATAAAGTCTAATATTTCTGTCATGGTTCCGAAAGATGAAACCCTTCAAAGAATCTCGAGGCCTTGTTTATTTTAAAGAATCTTTATTTGACTAGCATAGCGGCGGCACTAACACAATCGAAGCCAAAAAAACTTGAGTTCCCCTCCCCTGAGCACATAGTATCAACGCACAATTCCCTCCTCCCTCCTCCGACTGACAGTCATAAATCACATTCTCCAATTAGTTTGAAATGCAGGCTTCCCTCCCAGTTCTCCAGCCCGCCAATTCTTATCCTCTCTTATTCCAACAACCTTGGTTCTCACACTAGGGTCAGATTTATTAGGTCTAGCTAGACTCTCGTGCCCATTCGCCCTCCCCCCTCCTCAGCATCATCTAACTCTAAAAAAAAGTAGAACAAAATGGCTGCATTTCGCTAACATCCCTAAAATGGCTGCATCTCCCTAACATCCCTAAAATGGCTGCATCTCCCTAACATCCGACGTTAACAGTGTTGACAATTTCTTGTGTCGGTGGTTTTTGGGCCTGGTCTGCCTCGAAGGATTGACAGATGGGGAAGTTCCAAAGAAAATATGTAGGAAAACACGGATTCATCCCAGGAAAACAGGAACGGGTGAGAAAGAACCTCAAGGCTGACTTGCCTTGATGCTCTTTGGGGTCAGCGGGAGCGAACGGGAGACGTTTTCAAGATTCTGCTACTATATTCTGCACCTATCAGGTCTAATATTTCTTGTGTCGGTGGTTTCTCGGCCTGGTCTACCTCGTGAGTTGGGGACCCCTGGTGTACGGCACTGGCCCCCAATCTTTCGGGCACCATAGAGAGCGGTTTTTCCGTGGACCAGAAAGGAGCATGCTTCCGCGTGCTTCTTGCATCCCGCCAACAGAGCTTCGCCTCTGCGTGGATCGTTTTCTGGCATGCCGCGGCCCGGTCCCCGGCCCGTGAATTGGTGCTAATCTACGGCCCGTGAATTGGGTGCTGGTCCACGGCCGGAGAATTGGGCACC